GAGAGTGGTCTGATGCTGAGGGGACCTTATTGTTACAGTGTGTGTTAATGGGTAAAGCCCAGGAAGCCTACTCTGCTCTGACGGTGGCAGAGAGCACGGTTTATCTGACTGTTAAAACTGCTCTGTTGAAGGACTACAAGTTAGTCCCTGAGGCATATCGACAGAGGTTCAGGTCCTGGGAGAAGTCTAGCAGACAGACCCATGTTGAGTTTGCCAGGGATCTGGTACTTTTTTTTTAGCAGATGGTGCAATGCCCTAAATGTGAATTCGTATGCTGCATTGTGTGATATGATGGTGTTGGAACAATTCAAAAATGCTGTACCCAGCCACATTGCAGTTTACATCAGCGAGCGCAAGGTGAAGACTGCTGCAGAGGCCGCTGTACTGGCTGAACACTACAGATGGAGCATCTTATTTCAGACAGTTTGAAACGCGAGGGTCGTGATTGGTCCGTGATTGGTCCGTGATCGGCCGTGATCGGTTCGTGATGAAGAGCCGGCCCCCAGTCTGACTGGGTGATACCCACCCCTACTAGGCAGGAACCTCTTGTAAAAGTGATGTTTAATCTCAATGAGACACTCATTGTTAAAAAAAAACTTTAAAAAAGAAATACAAATACATTTGCTAAGGAATCAGAATCAGAATTCCTTTATTCGTCCTGCAAAGGGGAAATCTATGTTGGTACAAACTAGCTCAATAACTTTTAGCTAGGTTTGTCTGTCTTCCTATCTAATAAGCTAATTAGCTATCTATCTATCTGGCTAACTTTACCAACGTGGTGGCTCTCATTATCCACATTATTATACAGCTGTGCAGTGATGATGTATTTTTGTAGGCGGATTAATATCAAAGGGGTTCCTCGACAAAAAGCCAATGGGATTTTTCCTTTGGATTATTGCATGTTTATCTACTCCAAACATTTAAAATAGATGGCAAAATAGTTTGCAGTAAATCAAGTTATGAGACTCTGTGAAGGGAACCAGGCGGGTAGTTGACCCTCACTCAGATTCCAACCAACACCATTTTCCATACGCTTACTGAGCGAAGCTGCTGTTTTTAAGTAACGTATCATGAGAATTTGTGAATTCACCTTTAATGCCTAAAGAACAAGCAACTCATTCTAACTACCCCCCCCCCCCCAACACCACCCAAATACCCCAAAAAACCATCAGCAGTCAGTGTGTAGGTGGATCAGTTTAATAATTGAGAATGCAGAGTCTGAAAATGCATCTGTTTCGACTGTACCTTGGCAATTAAGTTATTGCTAAAAATAAAAATAAAAAATGATTGAATTGAGGCCTTGTGATTCACCAGCACCTAATGTGGTAGGATCTTGCTTGAAATAAATATATCTGCTCTTTCCTTGTTGATCCGAGATTGATTCTTTATGGGTTTTGCATTTATCGTTAGTAGCTTTGGATAGACGCGTCAGATAAATGATATGTAATGTAATGAAATGACTGACTGTGTGTTTCTCTGGTAGTTCCTGTGATGGTGCTGGTCTCCTCAGTGTGTGGGGGGGGTCTCCTGCTGGTCCTGCTGGTGCTGGGGGGGGTCTTCTTCTTCTTCCTGATCCGCAGGAGGAGACCCGGAGACCTCAACCAAACTCCAAGTATGTATATTTGATTTAACGGACTGTTTGTGTTTTTAACATATATATAGCCAAACTCCTCCAGCGCTACACCCCAGCCAGAGCTTTAAGGTCTGCTGACCAACTGCTGCTGGTAGTGCCCAAGACCAGGCTTAAAACCCGAGGGCACCGAGCCTTCGCAGCAGCTGGCCCTAGGCTCTGGAACACTCTGCCCCTCCATGTGAGGTCGGCCCAGACCCTAGGGGTTTTTAAATCTACACTAAAAACACACTTCTTCTCTCTGGCCTTCTAGTCAGAGCGGAGCACGACTTCTGACTTTTCCTTGTGTTTTTTTTTTAATATATATCTGTTGTAATTTATTGTCGTTTATTGTGATTTGTAGTAATGTGTTTTTATTACATGTACAGCACTTTGGCTCGACCAAAAATCGCTTTTAAATGTGCTTTATAAATAAAACTTGATTTGATTTGATTTGATTTGATTTAATATACTTTATCTTTTATTTCATTCAGGTACAAACTGCTTTCAGATTCGAGTCAAACTATAAGCCACGTTCCTTTGTTCTGTTTTATTTATGTTATACACTTTGAGTTTACATTTTGAACAAAGTACATGCAAGGAGTCACAAAACAGTTACATGGAAGTACATGGAATAAAGACCCTTTTCTCTGTGCTGAGGATGCACCACAGACACAGCCTGTTTCTGCACCAGAGCCTGAATCTCTACTGAGAGGAAACCCATCTCCTCCTGGGATGACAGATTTACCTCTCGCATGCCCATAAAAGGAGGTGGGATGCTGCAAAACTGGAGTGAATAGCCCCGTTTCAGCGACCTGTCCAACCACCCTATTAGTACACAGCTGAGGCTCCATTCCCCATAACATTGTGTTAATGGACAAGCCCTCAGCTGTGGGGCCGCAGCTATGAAGCTGTGATACTCTCTGGTGACTCGTTCCGCCGCAAAACCCCCCGTGAAGGGAAGATTTGCGCATGGAGGGTCGACACAGAAAGGGCCGATTATTTACTGAGGTCCCTGAACGCACCGCCGTGCGCTCTTGTGTGAGCGCGCGCCCCACCATAATGCTGTCTTTACCACTATGGTAAACTGCATTAACTGGAGTCTTTGCTCTAGGCGTAGTGTGTTCTCTGACAGTAATACGCCGGCCATAATGTCCCTGTACCCGCATAGCACTTTGATAGCACTCCCTGCGGTTTATCACTCTCATCTGCACATGCCCACTAGCTCTTCACAGGAACTACGGCTGGGGCGGCGAGTGGGGAATTTGTACAGTCAACATTACGTGTAAGTGTAGCATTGTGGAAACAAAGGACACTTAGACTTGGATACAGATCAACTTTATTTTTATTTGAAAAATACTTTGTTTGGATCTGTGCATTAAACAGGGAGGAGGCGGGATTCGCCCTTGCGTCCCGGGCGGAGAGATTCTCTCCCCCCGCCGAGACGCTTCCTCCCCCCGCCAGTCAGCTCCGCTCTCTGCTGCTGAGGCGCCTGCCGAGGTCGGGCATTCCGTCCCCGTGAATGCCGGTACGCCGGTTCCACGGGATGGGCCGTAGAGGTGGAGGGCCAGATTCTCATCGAGGGGGGGCACACCGGAACACGCCGTGTCCGAGCGGCCCTGCACCCTGATGATACCCGCCATGGCGGCTACTGGGGCCTTCCTTTTTTAATGGCTGCTGCCATGTCGCCTCCACACACTGCCAGATGTCTGGCAACGGGGGCTCTACCGCCAGGGTCATCACCGCTGGAGAGTCCAGCCGCGCAGACCTGAGTGTTGGACCACCGAACAATGAGGCGTCGTCCTCGTCCTCGTCCTCTGGGACCGGGGCCATCTGGCCCCACGGAAGGGTGAACCGGAATGGCACTTCCTCATCTTCCGGATCGCCCATCTCGACCACCTCGACCACCTCGACCACCTCGACCACCTCGACCACCTCGAGGTCCTGCTCCTCCAGCTCCAGTTGTGGGCCGCGCTTTGCCTGAAAATGATCCGCACGATGTTGGCGGGTTTGCAGAGGGATCATCTGGCACGCATTACAGGCCGGTGCTGGGTCCAGGCCGCTCGCAGCGTGGTCCGGCCCCATGCACAGGAAGCAGAGGGGGTGCGGATCAGCTCCCGCGATTAACTTTGGGCTCTTCGGGCAGGTTCGATGGTCGAGGAGTGGTTCCATGACTTCTCTTTCTTTCTCTCCTCCGTCTTTGTCTCAGTGGATTTCACTTCCGCCGCTGAAGAGAAAGGGATGACGGTCAGGAGGCAAGGCCTCCTTTTATACGGGGAGATGCGCGCGCATTCAGGAAGGCCCCCCCCATGGCTGGCTACGTCTATAGAAATCTCAGTAGGAGAATGCTCGCAGGATAAGGTAGTACCCATAGAGTCCAGTAGAGGGCGGAGCCTGTGAGAGATACAACCTTTAAAGCCTTTAAATTGCAAAATGTTCAATTGAAGTGTTTTCTGTTGAATATACCTGTCCTTAATTATTTCATTAAAAAAGATGTCTAACTTTAGTGTCCTTGCCTTTCTTTTCTCATGCTCACATTGACAGATATGACCTAAGGAGATCTCACACACCATAAATAAAGTGCTGGATAATGTAAAAATAACCCGGCGGCCATGTTGAATCCCTGTTTCTATTTCTGTCTCCTGCATCCCCCTCTTCACTGACACACTTCTGTGTTTGTGCAGCAGTCCTCCAGATCACTTAAAGGGACCCTCTTGCCTTAATCTTACGTCACTCAGAGTGTGAATTTCTAAATAACATGGACCGGTCAAATAAAAGCACAAATCATAAAGATGGCGTCAGAGGAACTAAAGGTTAAACTAACTTAGTGTCTTACTGACTGTCACTAAGCTGTATGTGGTTAGCTAGCAACGTTATCATTGGTGGTAGAAAATCATAACAGACCGTACAGACGATTTACCAAATAAAAATAACGGTGACTTCTTTTCAACACAAGAATAGAGGAATTGGTAATAAATAGTCAAAATGCACACTTTTATGTGTGTAGTGCTGTGTTCCCGTATTACCCAGCATTATACACCACTTATTGGTCATTGATATGTATTTCACTTTTGTGGTCTGTTGGTGGAGAACTGAAAGTTATCCTCTACCTTTTTTAAATGAACAACACAGAATTGCCCAGACAAAACCCTTTAATAGTGAATTTAAAGATATTATATCTGTTGTGGCCTATGCCCATGCAGGGCTGAAGTCTTTGGTGATGATGAGTTGGTTTCATGAGAACAGGAACTGTTGTTGGTTCTCAGCGGAGAGAAGGAACAAGCTGGTTATGTCTTAACCAGTGTTAAAACACAAAGATTTGGTTTTGAAATGCTGACGTTTGTGTTCCTCTAATTTTCTTCAGTGAATAGGATAATCACCGTATAATTAAATGTGCCAAAAGGAGGAAGTCTCCTAACAGTGTTTTTAGTTAAGTGTCCTTCTGCCTGTTCCCTCACTGAGAGATGTGTTAGAGTCAGCCATGGGGAGCAAACAGCAGAGAAACCTGCACCGTTTGGTCATTGGTAAGATCAATATAATATTTCATTTCCTTTGCATGCATAGCAGATTTATTGTTTGTTATAGACAGGCCAACTCTTAAAACACATGTTTCAGTTCTCAGTCTAAAGGAATCTAAATCAGGAACAAGTAGAACTTTGGTTTCTGCACTTTCTATCCTGCTGAATGTAATCTGTTTCTTCTCTTTATAGTCTCTTTTCTCCTGACCTCTTCAGTTGCTGCAAGTCAGTCAGCTTTATGGTCTGATGCTTAAATCCTTTTGGTCTTAAGTGTACAGGAAATTCATTGAGAATTTAACAATTTTTTGTGTCCTATAGACGGTCAGATCAGATTGGCTGGCTCTGGGTCCAATAACTGCTCTGGAAGAGTTGAGATCTACCACAGCAGCACCTGGGGAACAGTGTGTGATGATAACTGGGATCTAAACGATGCTCAGGTCGTCTGCAGACAGTTGGGCTGTGGTTCAGCGCTGAAGGCCCCTCGTGAAGCCCACTATGGTGAGGGTACCGGACCAATCTGGCTTGATGATGTTGGCTGTTCAGGAAGTGAAAGTTCTGTGACTGAGTGTACCCATCGAGGATTTAGGACTCATCCCTGTTCACACTCTTGCCCCTTTCACACCAACGCAACTCCGGTTCAAGCTCCGTGCTAGAGCTTTTTTGGTTCAGAACCGGTTCTTCGGTTTAGCGCCGGCTCTTTTCACACCGCTCAGAGCCCGACTGGTGCTGCCGCTGCTGCGTCATGACGTCACAGTTTACGTCGCTGAGTTTCTCCCCAACGCCGGAGCTCACCTCACAACAACAACGGGCCGGGGACTGCGTTGCTTTTAATCATACGAAGCCAGATTAAATTAAATAACGACTTCTCCAACCTTATACTTTTCTCCAGAGTGCCGTGGTTCATTGTTTATTAATGTGTTTCAGCGGCATTTACCGACCGCTGCAGTGCTGGCCGGCTGCTCTTCAACGGGAGTGTATTCTCCCGTTAGCTCCGGGTTAGCTCACACGGCTCTAAAGTATTCACTGTCTGACTGTCACACAAGCAGCTGATACATATCCCCAGTTCCCCTTAAGTGAATGTGTGTCAGTCTGAATTGACGCTGTTTGGCATCACAACGCTGTTATGAAAGTTTCTCTGGTATAACATGGGTGATGTTAGCATAGCAACCGAAGCTAAACTGACTACTTGCTAAGCAGTTTTCTACAGGCACTTTTTACCGACGTATTTTTCATTATGATTCTACTTGTGATAGTCGGACATGACAACCTGTGCAGCCCATGTATTGATTCCATCCGATAGCTGCTATAATAACAAACAAAACGTCTGCCTGCTCTCCACAATGATCAATAACAGCGAACGGATGGTCAAAGTAAGGTACAAATAAACAGAATCACACGTTAGTGTTGCCTGACTTTATAAAGTGTGTTTTTTTTAACAAGTGTGTGGTTGCGTTCTAGTCACTTTGCTCAGCACTACTGCTTGTTACAACTTTTATTTGCCGTACTCGCCTTAAGTGTTAGCTCAGGTTAATCTCGCCCTCCTCCGATGTAAGCGTGACGTATGCGGTTCTTGCTTCTAGACGGACAACTTTTTGGTGCTCGAAACGAACCGGATTCCGGAGCTATGACGCTGCTCCGCTGCGGTGTGAACAGGAAAACCCGGTGCTTTTCAAGCACCAGCACCGAACCGGCCCTGAAACACCGTTGGTGTGAAAGGGGTATCTGAGGACGCTGGTGTGTTCTGTTCAGGTGAGAGGACATTAGTTGTATTCTTAAAGTCAATGCACCGTGTCAGGACCATGTTACGAAATGCAATCCATCTAATAGTTCTCAATAAAAGCAAAATTCAGAACTGGATTTTATCCAACCAAGTTCTGCTTCAGTTTGATGTTCAGTCTTTGAAACCGGAGATGTTACACTCCATTAAAATATCAATGGATTACCATTGAATAATATAATAATATTAAATGAAGCTACATTTCTGTTCCCCCCCCCCCCCCCCCCCCCCCCGCCCCTTTGTGCATTTCTGGGATAAAGTCTGTGTTAATGAAGCTATTGTATTACTTTGAGAGGAACCAGTGTTGGTTTCAAACATCATCGAATCTGAAAGAGAGAAGGAACAAGGCCTTTATGTCTTTAAAAGTGTTAAAACACAGAGGTTTGGCTGTGAAACTCTGACCTTTGAGTTCCTCTTATTGCCTTCAGTGTATAGTATCATCAGCATATAAGTATATGTTAGTCAGCAGCAAACCAAACTGCAGCCTGGGATTTAAAATAACCCTATATGACTAGAGAGAGGAAGTGCTCGAGACATTTGGCCATTGGCAAGAATAATATTCCAAAACTGAATGTTAAAGCAGCATTTGCTTTGACCTGCCTGTCTGAGTTATTGCATGGAACAGACATGACATCTCTTGAAACTATTTTTACAGTTCTCAGGCCAAAGACATTTTAATCAGGAATAAGTGAAACTTTTAATGTCTGCACTTTTAATTTTGCTGCTAGTCTCTTTTCTCTTGACCTCATCTTCACCTGCTGCAGGTCAGTCAAGGTTATGGTGTGATGCATACATCCTTTTGGTTTTCAGTTTACATTAAAGTACTTAAATATTATATTCAATGTTTTTAGATCAGGTCAGATTGGCTGGCTCTGGGTCCAATAACTGCTCTGGGAGAGTTGAGATCTTCCACAACAGTACCTGGGGAACAGTGTGTGATGATAACTGGGATCTAGACGATGCTCAGGTCGTCTGCAGACAGTTAGGCTGTGGCTCAGCGCTGAGGGCCCCTCACTCAGCCCACTATGGTGAGGGGACCGGACCAATCTGGCTTGGTATGGTCGGCTGTTCAGGAAGTGAAAGTTCTGTCACTGAGTGTACCCATCCAGGATTTGGGACTCATAACTGTTCACACTCTGAGGACGCTGGTGTGGTCTGTTCAGGTGAGAGGATATTTGTTATTATCTTCTCAAAGTCAGCTTCTTTTCAGCTAGCTCCAAAGTACCATGGGTGTCAGAACTATTCCTTTTTATGTACATTCCATCAAATAATCTTCAAGACATTTTATTTGAAAGACCAAAAACTTCACAAAATGATGTTATCCAACCAAATGATATTCAGCATATCAATACCAGAGAAATGATTTTAGACAATCCATTAATAAATGAACCCAAAGGCCGGAAAAAGCAGGCAACGGGAACTTCAACAATTATTTTTCATCTTCTTCTTCTTTTTCTCCTCAGTGCCGCAGCAGAAGCCCACCCTCTCTCTGATGTCTCCAAGTGGGGGGGCGCTCATGGGCTCTGATGGCCCTGAGGTCATCTGGGGTCAGAGCGTCAGCATCACCTGTTTTGCATCAACTTTACCTCGACAGCTGTTTTCTAACACAAAGTTCATCTTGGAAAAGACTTCCAGTTCCTTCAGAGAGTCCAGAACTCCAGGTAGCAGCTCTGCTTCCTTCAGCATTCAGGAAGTGAACCTGGACCATGAGGGATGGTACCGGTGTCAGTATCAGATACGAGTCTCAGGACGAAACTTCAGCTCTCCCTTCAGTGACTCCGTCAGACTCTCTGTTTCTGGTAAGAATCTCCGTCTGATATTCATGAATCCAAGAACGTTACATTATCTTAACCCTGTTCTCTTGTGTGGGTACAGTAGCTCAGGGTGTAGGGACTTGGGAACCAGAGGGTCACAGGTCTCTGACCAATATCTTATTTTCTGCAAAAATCCCATTGGCTTTTTGTCAACGGGGCTCTTGGATATTAACTCCCGGGTTCGCCTACAAAAATATGTCATCACTGCACAGCTCTATAGTTATTGAACCGTGAGAGCCACCAATTTGGTATGGGTAGATAGTGAGATAGATAGATCATCTTTGCTAGCTTGCCAAATAACACACTGACCATGGATGTATAAAGACTAAGAGAAATAGATGCAGCGTTGGAGGCCACAATGATTATTTCCTGTCATCACCCAAAAAAAAATTCTGAAGGGAACAAGGGAGATGCTGCCTTCAGGGACAACTAAGAAATACGACATCCCTGCAGATCCGTAATGTTTTCTTCTTCTTCTTCTTGTTGTTCTTCTCCCCCTCAGTGCCGCTGCAGCAGCCCAACATCTCTGTGACGTCGCCCAGCGGGGGGTTGTTCTGGAGCCCTGAAGGTGCAGAGGTCACCAGAGGTCACAGCTTCCTCCTCACCTGCTCCATTGCTCCTCAGTATCCTGGAGGATTCTTCTCCCTCCTCTTCTCTGGGTCCCGCGTTAACGTCCTCAGGCGGGCAGTGAACCACTCGGCCTCCTTCAGCTTCCCTGCAGCCGGACCTGAGCAGCAGGGAAACTACAGCTGTCTGTACGAGGTCACCCTGTCCTCCAGGACCTTCACCTCCACACAGGAAGCACCCATCACTGTCATCATCACATGTAAGAGGAAACTAAATGCAAAGGGAGAAGTAGTACTCAGATATTATCGGAGAGTAGCAGACATGTCGATGGCACAAAAACGAATAGCTCTAGTGTTTGTGCATCACACACCGTCAGAAGCACTAGACAGGAACCTCTTGTAAAAGTGATGTTTAATCTCAATGAGACACTCATTGTTAAAAAAAAACTTTAAAAAAGAAATACAAATACATTTGCTAAGGAATCAGAATCAGAATTCCTTTATTCGTCCTGCAAAGGGGAAATCTATGTTGGTACAAACTAGCTCAATAACTTTTAGCTAGGTTTGTCTGTCTTCCTATCTAATAAGCTAATTAGCTATCTATCTATCTGGCTAACTTTACCAATGTGGTGGCTCTCATTATCCACATTATTATACAGCTGTGCAGTGATGATGTATTTTTGTAGGCGGATTAATATCAAAGGGGTTCCTCGACAAAAAGCCAATGGGATTTTTCCTTTGGATTATTGCATGTTTATCTACTCCAAACATTTAAAATAGATGGCAAAATAGTTTGCAGTAAATCAAGTTATGAGACTCTGTGAAGGGAACCAGGCGGGTAGTTGACCCTCACTCAGATTCCAACCAACACCATTTTCCATACGCTTACTGAGCGAAGCTGCTGTTTTTAAGTAACGTATCATGAGAATTTGTGAATTCACCTTTAATGCCTAAAGAACAAGCAACTCATTCTAACTACCCCCCCCCCCCCCCAACACCACCCAAATACCCCAAAAAACCATCAGCAGTCAGTGTGTAGGTGGATCAGTTTAACCTGTTACGCACCGCCCCCCCCGGTACCGGGCGGATAAAAGCGTCATTTGCAAGAAACAACGTCTAAGGAATCTTAATATTTAATAAACTATGAATGTTTTATTTCCATGTAACGGGAAGAAACTCAGCTAACTGATCTTTTTAATTTTTTTTCTCCAAAAAAACCCCACAATGCTAACACTCAGCCTCTGAATTATCCACGAGCGAAAAAATGTAACCTATCACTGCACCTAAACTCACTCATAACTCCCTTATTACTTATCCTAGATGCACAGCCAACCCCTCGATTAGCATCTCCTGGAGACACTGAATCTAGTGGTGCCCACCTCAACACTCAGTGATAAACATTTGCGACGCTATAAACGAAAGAGTACATCATAACATGTGGAGCTAGGTAGCTAGAAACGCTAACATGGCTTACCTTGGTCAAAACTGGTCTTCAATGGCATTAAAACGATAAAAAAACGATGCTGCAGTTAATCCATAGGTTCATCCAATGTGTCTGTGTCCTCTTTGAAATGATTTCTGATAATCCATAAGCAATACAACTGCTTTTTCGTTTCCAAATGTCAGAGCGAGAGATCGCTTCACTCTGGTGCAAACCTGCATACGCGAAGCCCCCACCGTTTGTTTTCACAACGAGGGTGTGTGTGGGGGACTCCCCCTTCGATTCTATTGGCTCTAACGGTCAGAAAGAGGTGTCAACCATCAACATCGACCAAGGGGGCCAGAGATATGAAAACAAATCAATTTCCACCCAAATCACCTCAGAGGTGGGGTGGTTTTGGCTAAACCTCTCTAAAAAGGTCAAATGTCACTTGTTTTGCATCAATCTTGATACAGGGTACTTATTATATGTTGTACTTTGGATTCCTAAAGCTTTTAGTCTACTAACCCATCATCCAAGGGTAGTTTTCACTATAAGTAAAAAAGAATTTTTGGACGGACACTATCATTTACAGTTTTTTACTATTTAAAATCTGAATTTTCTATAAAATAAAAAACATCTATATTGATTCTGACTTTTCTACATCCAACTCACAGGTTTATCATTACTTTGAGAAAAAAGATTATTAATTTAACCCTTTTAGAAGGGAAGATATGGTCATTTGTTCTGGGAATGGCATTTTCGAGCCTGAGACCTGAAAAACAGGCTCAGGGCTTAACAGGTTAATAATTGAGAATGCAGAGTCTGAAAATGCATCTGTTTCGACTGTACCTTGGCAATTAAGTTATTGCTAAAAATAAAAATAAAAAATGATTGAATTGAGGCCTTGTGATTCACCAGCACCTAATGTGGTAGGATCTTGCTTGAAATAAATATATCTGCTCTTTCCTTGTTGATCCGAGATTGATTCTTTATGGGTTTTGCATTTATCGTTAGTAGCTTTGGATAGACGCGTCAGATAAATGATATGTAATGTAATGAAATGACTGACTGTGTGTTTCTCTGGTAGTTCCTGTGATGGTGCTGGTCTCCTCAGTGTGTGGGGGGGGTCTCCTGCTGGTCCTGCTGGTGCTGGGGGGGGTCTTCTTCTTCTTCCTGATCCGCAGGAGGAGACCCGGAGACCTCAACCAAACTCCAAGTATGTATATTTGATTTAACGGACAGTTTGTGTTTTTAATATACTTTATCTTTTATTTCATTCAGGTACAAACTGCTTTCAGATTCGAGTCAAACTATAAGCCACGTTCCTTTGTTCTGTTTTATTTATGTTATTTTTTTTTTTTTTTTTATTTAGCCTTTATTTATACAGGTGTAAAATTTCATTGAGACACAAGGTCTCATTTTCAAGAGAGACCTGTCAGTGGTAACACTACCACACAAAGTTACAGACAGGACACTAAACACAGAGGCAACACTGAAATACAACACCGTAAAAAAAGTAGTCATTGAAATCCATATACAGTATTCAGGTAAAGCAGGTGCAAACACCCACAGATGATTTCTCCAGCTTTTTTAAAATGAGTTTAAAATCCGTGATGGGTATCAAAGTGGTCAGCTTAAGTTCCTGCTGAAGTGGGTTCCAGGTCGAGGGGGCAGAGTATGATATGGCTTTTTTCCCAAGCACTGTGCGTACTGAGGGGACGGACAGAGTGATGTAATGTTGAGATCGTAGGCTATAGCTGTACTGTTTGTGTGATATGTAAGTGGATATGTAGAGGGGCAGCAGTCCAAGCATAGCGGTATAGATGAGTTTGTACCAGTGCAGTGATCTGCGCATTGATAATGATGTCCAGTTGACTAAAGAGTACAGCGTGCAATGGTGTGTGAGGGGGTTACAGTTGGTTATACACTTTGAGTTTGCATTTTGAACAAAGTACATGCATGGACAATATGAGTAAAGAAAAAAAGTGTTTCTGATCCAATGGTTGTGTATTAGCGCTGTGCATCAAATAAATACTGAATCCTGTAAATCACAGCATTTGCTTGTATTTTGGAGATCAAACAAATACACGCGTGGTGTATCGATAAAGAGATGTCTGATGAACTGGAGAGAGGAACCAGAGGGTAACTTTATTATAACATGATTTCTGGATTATTGTCGTGAAGTCTGACACTATACGGACCCTTAGCAACCTGGAGAGCGTGAACTTAGTTTGAAGGCGTGAAGAATTCAATCTGATCTCCAGGAAACATCTCCTGCCTGTGTTTCAGTGCGTCTCGGGGCCATGAAGTTCAACAAAGAGGACAAGCAGAACATCTATGTTCACTTTGATGGTGACGAAACAGAAACACGATAAGAAATCAGGACGAGGAGAGGAAGAGGACATCGATGTCTACGAGCAGAAAGAGAGCTGTGCTCACTTCAGAAAGGGCAAAGAGGACGACGAGGAATGCTGATTATTCAACAGGTTTAGATCAAATGGGGAAAGGTTCCATTTACCAATCAAATGTCTTCTTGTTTCTCCTTCAGTGTTCTTGAGCTGGTTACATAAAGAAAACATACTTTTCAATATGTGATGAACTATAACTTGACATCATGAAATATTTTGAAATCTGTTAGCTATGCTACTAAGCTAGGCTAGTTTGCTTTAGCATTAGTTTATTTGGTGCCATTATGTTCCAAATCTGAATTTTCTGCATTTCTACTCAGGTTTCTAAATGCGTACAGATCGGTTGGATAGAAACGTCCCAATAGAAAGTGAAATCAGAGATGGTAATAACCGCTACGCTGCTAAGCTAGGCAAATTAGCGGGTCAAACTCATGCGTTAAATTCCTAAAATAATGTGACCTGTAAAACCTTTAAATCGCAAAATGTTCAATTTAAGTGTTTTCTGTCCTTAATTATATTTCATTAAAAAAGATGTCTAACTTTAGTGTCCTTGCCTTTCTTTTCTCATGCTCACATTTACAGATATGACACCACACCATAAATAAAGTGCTGGATAATGTAAAATAACCCGGCGGCCATGTTGAATCCCTGTTTCTATTTCTGTCTCCTGCATCCCCCTCTTCACTGACACACTTCTGTGTTTGTGCAGCAGTCCTCCAGATCCAACCCGGTATCACGGCAAGACGTGAACATGTGACGATCTACCACGCTGGGAGACGTGAATATGTCACGGTTTCGTCCCTTCAAACGTGACAGTTACACGGTATTGTTAACATGGCCCAACCAGTGGAGAAATACCCGGAAGTGCCAAGCAAATGGTCTACCAAGACTATTGGTCGTTTTTTATTGTCAAAATTAGATGTTTTTAATTTATTTTTTAATCGTCACACTCGATTTCGCCGATTTTCTTGTTGCCCTAGCTGGTCGACACCTCTTTTAGCAGAAACAAAGGCTACAAAGGGACCCTCTTGCCTTAATCTTACGTCACTCAGAGTGTGAATTTCTAAATAACATGGACCGGTCAAATAATCAAATAAAATAAAAGCACAAATCATAAAGATGGCGTCAGAGGGACTAAAGGTTAAACTGACTTTGTGTCTTACTGACTGTCACTAAGCTGTATGTGGTTAGCTAGCAACGTTATCATTGGTGGTAGAAAATTAGCCAGTGTTAATTTCGTCAACGAAAACTGTGACGAAAAATGTTTGTCAACGACCTTTTTTACACGACTAAGACGAGACGATGACGAGCTAAAAATAGATTCTTAATAATAAAAACGATGACGAAATGTATATTTAGTTTTTGTTGACGAGACGAGACGGGACTAAGGTGTTGGACTATCGGACGTTCAAAATGCAGCATATTTTCCCCCAATTGTCCGTCTTGTCTGTCAAAATGCAACTTACGTTTCTAACTTGCAATATCATTATTTCCGCTCTCTGCACTCCAGAAGAGCGATCTCCCTGCATTTATCGTAAGTAGCAGATTTCTAAGAGTAGTAGTACCATTAAAAAACCTTAACGATACCCATCCCTAGATTTTACACAAGTGTTAAGAGAGTGAAATGTTGCTTTACGAATTTCAACACTTGATATTTGCCTAACTGAATTAGTTTAAACAGAGGAAACATTTTGACTAAAACTGGACTAAAACGTTTTGAGTTTTCGTCCACTAAAACTAGACTAAAACTATGAAGGATTAAAAGGACTAAAATGTGACTAAATCAAAAAAGCTGCCAAAATGAACACTGCCATCAAGAGCGCAGCGTCCAGTATTCGTATTGGGACGCTCTTAAAGCCAATATAAGAGCAGAAGTAGTGGGATTGTGACCCAGCACCTGTCATTGGTTCACCTGTCATACAAGGTATAGATTTCCACCATTATTTTACCCAGGCGGACCCACACCTACGTATTTTTTTTATTTTTTTTAATATAGATCATTATTATTATTTTTTGTATATTTGTCATTATTATTATTATGTTACTTTTTATGTATTTATCTCAATTATTATTCCTTTTTATTTATTTATTGTATTAAAATAGAAATAAATACTTTATTGTGTGTTTTTATTTTACTAGGATTTTTTTAATTTAATATTTTAATTTTATATTATTTATTACATTTGTTTTAAGTATATTTCTATTGTTACCCATTTTTTTTATATATATTTGTATTACTGTCACCACATTTGTTTGCGCCCCCCGCACATGCCATCTTGCCTCACACCACACTTCACTCTGCCATGCTGGGAGTCGAACCATCAACCCTCTGGTTGTTAGGCATCCATTTACCCCATCAGCCAAACACACCAGTACTTATTCCAGTCACATTTCACTGGCCTCTACGGTTATTAGGGCGACACAAAGTGAGGTATAATAACAAAACAATAGAGCATGCTGGGAGTTGAACCCCTGACCCTCAGGTTGGAAGACCATTTACCCCTTAAGTCACACACACTATTGCATTAACCTCCTACTATTACCTTACATTATAACATTATCTTACTTTAAAAGCTTCTACCTTTGAACTCTATAATCTGTCCAATGGTATTTTACCCTTTAAAGGTCCCATGGCCATTTGTACTGATCATATTTCCATTGTTGAGGTCTACTAGAATAGATTTACATTGTTCAATGTTCCAAACTCACATTGGTTTCTCATACAGCATCTCTGTATAGTATGTGTATTCACTCTCTGTCCTAAACGGCTTGTTGGAGCTCCTGCCCCCCCCCCCTCCCTGTGAGCCCAGTGAGCTCTGATTGGTCGGGACGTTGCGAGCTGCTGCGAGGAGCGGACAGGTTTCCGGGTCGGCGATACAGCGAGAACAAGCGAAACTCATCCTGAGCACACACACACACTCACAGCCGAAGTAAAAACAATAAGTGTTGCTTGATATTGAGTAATACCCCTTTCACACCAAGGCTTTTCCCCTTCTAGCTCCTCTAGAGCTTTTCTGGTTCAGAACCGGTTCTTCGGTTTAGCGCCGGCTCTTTTCACACCGCTCAGAGCCCGACTGGTGCTGCCGCTGCTGCGTCATGACGTCACAGTTTACGTCGCTGAGTTTCTCCCCAACGGAGCTCACCTCACAACAACAACAACGGGGGACTGCGTAGGGTCGATGATCGTGTTGCTTTTAATCATACGAAGCCAGATTCAATTAAATAACGACTTCTCCAACCTTATACTTTTCTCCAGAGTGCCGTGGTTCATTGTTTATTAATGTGTTTCATTTAGCGACCGCTGCAGTGCTGACTGCTCTTCCACGGGAGTTTATTCTCCCGTTAGCTCCGGGTTAGCTCACACGGCTCTAAAGTATTCACTGTCTGACTGTCACACAAGCAGCTGGTACATATCCCCAGTTCCCCTTAAGTGAATGTGTGTCAGTCTGAATTGACGCTGTTTGGCATCACAACGCTGTTATGAAAGTTTCTCTGGTATAACATGGGTGATGTTAGCATAGCAACCGAAGCTAAACTGACTACTTGCTAAGCCGTTTTCTCCAGGCACTTTTTACCGGCGTATTTTTCATTATGATTCTACTTGTGATAGTCGGACATGACAACCTGTGCAGCCCATGTATTGATTCCATCCGATAGCTGCTATAATAACAAACGTCTGCCTGCTCTCCACAATGATCAATAACAGCGAACGGATGGTCAAAGTAAGGTACAAATAAACAGAATCACACGAAGCCTGGTTAGTGTTGCCTGACTTTATAAAGCGTTTTTTTTAACAAGTGTGTGGTTGCGTTCTAGTCACTTTGCTCAGCGCTACTGCTGGTTACAACTTTTATTTGCCGTACTCGCCTTAACTGTTATCTCAGGTTAATCTCGCCCCCCTCCGACGTAAGCGTGACGTATGCGATTCTTGCTTCTACACGGACAACTTTTTGGTGCTCGAAACGAACCGGATTCCGGAGCTTAGAGGCTGCTCCGCTGCGGTGTGAACAGGAAAACCCGGTGCTTTTCAAGCACCAGCACCGAACCGGCCCCGAAACACCGTTGGTGTGAAAGGGGAGGTTTCTAACGCTGTGAGAATGGGTCTGCAGAGAGAATGGGCCTGCAGAGAGAATGGGTCTGCAGAGAGCATTTCTCCACCATCCCAACTCGTCTATTACCAGCGTTCAGGGAGCTCTATGCAAGTCAATGGGGACTCCCTGTTAGTTAGCCAAGGGATCCTGGTGTGTGAGGGGCTCCACTGATTGGTCCATTTGTTTGGTTTGTGACTCTGCAGACCGTTTACATACAGAAAAACCTTCATAACTCAAGGAGACGGGTAATAACCAGAAAAGCATGTCATGGGCCCTTTAATTACATGTCTGTTACAATGAAACATTTATTTCATGACATTTTAACTATTGTACACTTTGACACCGAGGAGAGGACTTGTCAGAGGAGATATTGTTAAAACATTTGTTGAAACTCATCACAGGAAGTCCAATTGTTTACAACTGTTCAGAAAACACACGGCTACCATCTGGAGTCAGGTATCTTTCAAATGTCCTTTAGAAACAATGGAATTAAACCTCGGTACCTTTCCAACTTTACCAAACTTCAGGTTTTTTCCCATTTAAAAAAAAAACTCCATTCTGGGACTCGTGTTCTTTGAAATGAGTCAACGGTAGAAATAACCAAACCATCTTATACCTAATGTGGTCGATCAAAAACATCTTGACATTAAACTGACCCATGACATTAAAGGTATCAACATAATACCAGAATATGATAAATGTTTCAACATCAAAATAACAGACTGAGTTGGGAAACTTCACGTGAAGCAGCTGTTTTCAGAGCCAATGATGGGACGCCAGTTTTAAAGTATTACACCTAGAGAGCCACAAATAGATATGACACACACTCCTTGTAATGTAAGAACGCTGGCTTCACACACACACACTCACACACACTCACACACACTCACATACACTCACACACACTCACTCTTAGACAGACAGAAATGTCTCTCTGAGCTCATCCCTGTAACTCGAGACAAGACGCACTTTGTTCTGAACAGCTGCTGACGTCCTGGTGGTCAGTTTAAATCTGTTCTGATAACCCTAACACACATTGATTTTAACGCCTTTAAGTTGCTGTGTGTCCATTGAACAGTAGCTTCTTATCAAGGAGAAGTTAATATCAATTAATGTGTTTTTATCCAATCAAATGCCAGCTCTCATGTGACATGTCTCCATCCTCTAATGTTCAAAAAGCTCTTTATTTTTCTCATGCTGCCTGTGCTGCAGCTCCTCTTTTCACACTCTGTCTGAAACCAGAGCCCAGTCTGCTCTGATTGGCTAGCTGGTCGACTCTGTTGTGATTGGTCAACCTGCTTAGAGATCACGTACAATGTGTTGGAGCGCTAGCCAATAGGAGCGTAAGTGTTCCTTAGTGATGTCACTGGACGAAAACAAAGGACTCCAATGGAGGCGATTCTGAAATAGTCAGAGTCTAGAAACTACCCAGAAGAGGGCGGAGCCTGTGAGA